AAAAAAATCAATAAAATATATATATTTTTAAAAAGAGTGGAGTGGGGTCACTGACTCTGTCACCAAAGATAGTGGCCCAGTATTGGGGCGTATGAATGGTAATTTTGTGTGTCATGAAATTAGAGGGGAGCAGCAGGATAGTGCTGAGATCAGTGTCTTTTTCAAGCTCTCTTTAAAGAAAATGGGGAGATAGGGGAACGTAGGGAAAAGGTGTTTCTCTGCAGTGCTCTAATTCAGTGTGGAGGTGTGGTGGGTATTTTAAAGGTGCGTTTCTCAACACATCACCAAGGAAAGGCACCAAGTGGGAATGGCCCTGGAGTTTAACAAACAGGTCTCTTTTACGTTTAGTTTACTCTGCCATTTTCAGTTTTTGACATCTAGTCTTTTTGAATATTTTCATGGATATTTACTGTGAAGTTGAGAAGAGGCACATCACTCACTACAGAATATCTACATGTGAAGAAAAGAGCTTTTGAAGCTCATCTAAAATCAAAGCCACTATTTCAGATTGCTAGTTATATACGCCCATATTTCCTCTAAGCCTTCTGTGACAGTTATTAGATTGAACTGCAAAAATTTGAGAGTATATTGAAAACACATAAAGAAGCACTTTCATAGAGAAATGCAAAGTCATAGCTATAAAGAATCCAGTCTCAACTTTTATTATTAGTCTACTTTTAAGTTCTTCCAGTTCTATAAAATTTAAAAAGCAATGACAATCAGAGAAATTACCTATTTACATTTTTAAGAAATAATTTCCAAATTTTCCTATATTTACATTATATCTTGTATCCAATTGTACATAAAGGTTTATATTGATTATAAATAAATACATAAATGGACTAGACTTAGGGAAGAACTTTGAACTTGAAATCAAGAATTTTTCAGCTCCATCAGCAACTATATTGTATATTAATCATTAATCATGAAATGATGGAATTTTAAAACCCCCTTAAGAATCAATTGGATGTAACCCAGTTTGTTAATCCTCTCATCTGCTGATGGGCACTTAGGTTATTTCCAAATCTTGGCTATTTTAAGTTGTGCTGCTATGAACATAGGGGTGCATATATCCTTTCTGATTGGTGTTTCTGGTTTCTTGGGATATAGTTCTAGAAGTGGGATTACTGGGTCAAATGGGAGTTCCATTTTTAACTTTTTGAGGAAATGCCATACTGTCTTCCACAGTGGCTGCACCAGTCTGCATTCCCACCAGCAGTGCACGAGGGTCCCTTTTTCTCCACATCCTCGTCAGCACTTGTCATTTGTTGATTTGTAGGTGATAGCCATTCTGACAGGTGTGAGATGGTACCTCATTGTTGTTTTGATTTGCATCTCTCAGATGATTAGTGACTTTGAGCATGTTTTCATATGT